CTGTATTGCAGTTTTTGTTATATAAAGTTTTTGGACAGTATATTTTTGTATTTTATTGATTGTGTTGTTACACGTGCATTTTTGTCAACATACTTGCAGGTTCATCAAGGACATGTACCATGCTCATTTCCCAAATGAGGAATTTCTGTTATCAGGACAAATTGGACAGTGCAAACACGAGTCCGCACTAGAGAATATTTACTGTACTTTTAAGGTTCCCTTCTCAGAGAATCTTTGTCCACAACTTGAGCAGGGAAAAGGTTTCTCAGTGTGAGCTCTTGTGTGTTTGTTTAAGTGCCCCTTCTGAGAGAATCTTTGACCACAAACCGTGCAAGAGAAAGGCTTCACGCCAGGGTGTGTTCTTGTGTGTTCAGTCAAATCTTCCTTCAGAGACAATCTTTTGTCACAAACTGAGCAGCCAAAAGATTTCTCACCAGTGTGTGTCTTTAGGTGTGCTGTCAAATATCCCTTCAAGGAATATCTTCTGCCACAGACTGAACAGGCAAAAGGTTTCTCACCAGTGTGTGCACTTGTGTGCCTTCTTAACTCTACCTTCCGAAACAAACAACAACCTTCCGAAAGAATCTTAGACCACAAACTGAGCAGACAAAATGTCTATGACGTTTTAAGTGACCCATCTGAATCTTTGGTCACAAACTAGGCAGGCAAAGGTTTTCTCGCCAGTGTGTGATCTTGTGTGTATTTTTAAGTTTCCCTTCTGAGAGAATGTCTGGCCACAAACTAAGCAGGCAAAAGGTTTCTCACAAGTGTGGCAAACCATATACCTCTTCAAATTGCTCACTGAAGCACAAGTTTTCCCACATTCAGAACATTTCCAGCCTTTGTCAGTTTCACATGCTTGTGATCCTCCATCACCTTCTGATGTCATGCATGGACACGAGCTATTGCCTGGAGGCCCCGCCTCTTTGCTCGCTTCACTTTGACCCTCATTTTCACATTTTAAAGGGCCACCAGTCAATGGCAGCTTACCGATATTCTGCTCTTCTTTCTATTCTTTGATGTAGGGAGACTTTTTTTCATCCTCCTTGGAATAGAGATGCTTTTCGTCCTCCTTTTTGATGTGACTGTGCTCTTCTTCTTCCTTTTGATCGATACAAGGCTCTGGCTCCTCCTTTTCTTGAA